ACCTTCCTTCCGAGGAGTGGCTGGTGGGTTTGAACCGCCAGCCGTCTGGTTAGCAGGCTAGTGTCTTAGCCACCAGAGCTCCTTGGATAATTGGCTATAATAATATAATTCACATATATATATATGAAGTTGTATTCCTAATTTACACCACACACAAAATCAATTCCAGGTGGATTAAAAATTTAAATGTGAAAGGCAGCATTTTAAAACATTTCAAAGAAAGTCCTACAACTTCAGGTAGGGAAGGGTTTCTTTAAAATGCTTACAAATCACTAATTGTAAAGGAAAAGGGTGACCAATTAAACTACAATAAAACTAAAACCTTCTATTCATGAAAAATACTATAAAGAAAATTAAAATACAAGGCATGAACTGGAAGAAGATGTTTTTAACACATAAACTGACAAATTTCTTGGTATCTAGAATATATAAAGAACTATGAATCAATAACTGAAAGCTTATGAATCAAAGAAAAAAAGATGAAAACAAATAAATAGAAAAATGGGCAAAAGTAATTAATGGATAAAATACATAAATAAATAATGATAAAAAAATACAACGCACACACACACACACACACACACAGTAATTAATGGGACTGCACAGAAGAGGAAACATGAATGACCAACAAACATATGAAAGGCTATTCAAACTTTTATCAGGGAAACACAGAGTGAAAGCATGATGAGATACCAATTTACCTAGTAGTTTGACAAAAATTAAAGTCAGACAATGACAAGTGTTGATAAATTTATGGAGCAACAGGAACTCTTATCCACTGGTGATGGAAGCCTAATTAGTACCACCATTTTGAAAAATGACTTGACATTTTCTGGTGAATTTAAGTATATACCTTCCAATCCACTGCCATCAAGTTGATTCTGACTCATAGCGACCCTATAGGACGGAGTAGAGCTGCCCCACAGGGTTTCCAAGGCTGTAAGTCTACAGAAGCAGACTGTCTCATCTTTCTCCTGCAGAACGGTTGGGGGGTTCCAATAGCCGATTATTTGGTTAGCAGCTGAATGCTTTAACCACTACACCACCAAAGATCCTAAATATTTACCTTACAAACCAGAAAATCCACTCTTAGGTATGTTTGCTAAAGAAGCTGTTACGCAATGCACCAGGAGATGTGATTCTAAAAAAATGTTTGTAGCAGTATTGTTAGAAAAACCAAGAACCACCCAAATATCCATCAATAGGTGAATGAATAAATAAATTATAGTATATATTCATAGGGAGCTCTGGTAGAATAGCGCCTAAGGCACTTGACTGCTAACCAGAAGGCTGGCAGTTCACACCCACCAGCCACTCCTCGGAAGGAAGGTTGGGCAATCTACTTCCATAGGGATACTGCCTCGGAAACCCAAGGAGGGGTCACTATGAGTCGGGTCCTACTCGAAGGCACATAACAACAACATATATTCATAGGATGAAATACAAGATAGGAATGAAAGTAAACCATAGCCATATATATCAATATATGTGCTGAGTGGGTTGTGTGTTTTGGGGTTGGGGCATCCATAGAATAGTTAATTATATTAGTTATCTATTACTGCATAAGAAATCGCTCCAAAATTTGGCAGCTAAAAAATAAAAACAAAAGCAAGAAGTATATCACAGTTTCTATGAGTTAAGAATATAAGTGTAGCTTTACTGAGTGCCTCTGGCTTGAGGTCTTTCATGAGACTGTAGCCAAGCTACTGGCCAAGATCTCATCTCATGGCTCAATTTAAAGGATATCTGCTTCCAAGTTCACTCACATGGTTATTGACAGGCTGTAGTCCCTCACCGTGTGGGCCCCTTTACAGGGTTGCCTAAAGACATGGTAGATGGCTTCTCCCAAGGAGAGTAATCCAAAAGAGAATGACAGAGAGATCACCCAAGACAGAAGCTGTAGTCTTCTTATGACCTAATCTCAGAAGTGTGATAGCCCATTGCTTCTTCTATGTTCTGTTTGTTAGCAGCAAGTTACTGAGTCCCGCCCTCACTCAAGAGAAAGTGATTACAAAAGGGTATGAATACCAGGAGCCTGGGGATTACTGGGGGCCATTGTGGAGACACACTTATGCAGTATGATTTCATTTTTATCAAGTTCAGGAAACTAAACAACATATTGTTTAGGCAGACAATCTTATGGGGAAGCACTATGAAGGAAAACAAAGAAATGAAATTCTGGATATTGATGATTTCTGGGGGTGGGAGACTGAGAATGGAGAGGACACAGAAGTAGATCCAAAAGTTGGGGTTTTTTGGTGGGTTCATAGATGTTTATTTTACTTTTATGCTTTATAACTTGATTTTATGTTGCATATATTTTTGGTATTTCCTCTTTGGTTTAGGTTTATATTCCATTTTATCAAAGTGATACATACATACATACACTTTAGAGTCATTTGTTCTGTAGGATTTGTTGTCCCCAGCACCCCTTTATCTTTCTCCAGAGGCAACTGCTTTTACCTCCTTTTGCTAATTTTCTTCCAGCATTTACCTCCAGGTTTCTAAATAAGACACTTGTATTGCTACTTTTTGATGCTTTGGTTTAAGCATTATCTTTCCATTTCCTACTATGATTTTGAATAGATCAGTAATCAGTGTTTATATTGTCCAATCAACACTTGGTTGACTCTATTCATAGTTGAGCATTGTAGTAAAGTATGATAACTTTTCCTTTTCTGCAGAACTTTTTGTTTTCCTATCAATTCCATCTTCTGGGAAACATTTCTCCAGCGCCTTCTGATCAGCTCTAGTCTGGTTGCTATCCACACCTGGTACAAGAACCTCCCTGTACTTTGGACTTCCCTCTTTTCTGTTGGATCTCCAGTTTGCCGTATCCCATGCCTTCCTCCCTCTAGGTTTACTCCTTTGTTTTGCTGAAGCATATCCTCCTGTGGTTTCTTGAGAAAAGGTGCATGGGAAGTAAATCTTTTAGACTCTTGCACATCTGAAAATGTTTTCATTCCATCCTCAGATTTAACTACTACTTTGACTAGACATGGAATTCTGATTTGGAAATAATTTTCCTTCTGAATTTCTAAGGCTTACTCCATGGCCTTCTAGCTTCCAGTGTTGCTGTGAAAAAGTCCAAAGTCATTCTGATTTTTGATTCTTTGTATTTGACCTCTTTTTTTCCCCCCCTCTCTGAAAGCTTTATATTATCTTCTTCTTTTCCCATGGTGCTCTGAAATTTCAAAATTATTTGCCTTGGTGTGAGTCTATTTTCATCCACTGTGCTGAGGACAGTGGGCCTTGATCTAGAAACTCATGTCCTTCAGTTCTGGGAAGTTTTTAAAATGCTTTCTGATTATTTCTTTCCTTCTCTTTCTCTTTCACCTTCTCTTCTCTTCCTTTCCCTTGCCCCTCTGTTCACTCTTCCTGGAACTACTATTATTTGAATTGGTAGACTGATTCACTAATTTTCTCATTTTTCTCTTATTTCCCATTTCTCTTTCTGTCTTTTCCAGCCTTTTGGGAGACTTCCTCAATTTATCTTCCAGCCCTGCTAGGGAGCATTTTTTTCTATAGCATTCCATTCTTGTTTCATGGATGCAATATCTTTTCTTTTATTTTTCAAGACATTAGTTATAGGATGTCCTCTGCTTAGTCTGTTTGAACCAAAGTACTTTTCCTTTATTTGTTTGAGTGACCAATTTGGTCTATGTCTTTAATGTTAGAGTCTTTCCTCAGATGTCTGGAAATTCCTGGGTGTCTGCTTATTTTTAAAAGTGGTGGACTGAAAACCTTTAGTTGTAGAGGGATTTGAGGAAGGACCAAAAATAGGCATGAGTGTTTAAACCACCATTTTTATTCCATCATACAGCCTTCTATATCTATCATTTATTCTATGATATTAAAAAGTGAGAAAATAGCCTGAAGATCAATTAATAACTATAATAACTACCATCAGCAGCTCAAAGGAAAACTATACTTT